ATGAAAGGACTGTCATGCATCTTTGGAAACATCTTACCAGAATAGAATAAAGCCTTGATCCTGCTAAAACTTAGACAGAGACCAGCCCCCTGGAAGAAGAAGAACTTGAGCATTACTGTCAGCCTTGGCCCTGTGCTCCCTGTTCTGATAACCACAGTGACCCATGTGACAGTTCACTGTTAGCATAAACCCATTCCCCTCTTCTGTTCTCCTGACCATCTTCCCATTTGTTTTAGGTCAAAATACACCATGAGTTGAAGGGCCTTGCCCAAAATGTGCTTCAAGTGAAGCATGCAAGTGAGGGACCACTTAAGCAGCTGCAAAAAGTCCTCCATCTCTAGCAGCCCAGTTCAGCTGATATCCCAATCTGCTGAAAATTGCAATATCCCCTCTCTTGTATCTCCAAACTAATTAATTTTATAGCTGAGCAAATCTCCTTTCTCTCTGTCACTTAGCACCATGACTAAGTGAGGCTTTGAGCGAAGGGAAAAGGTTGGGAGCTGGCCGTGCGGTTTCAGTGAGGTTTGTGGGGCCACAAGGCTGGGGGTGAGTTGAACTTGAGATGATGAAGCAGTGGTATTCTTGTTGCCTGGGATTTAACCTTAGCTTGAGAAGAAGCCACAGCAGAGTTTGTGATCCAAGTGAAGCCCACATTGAGGAGAAAGGTAGGGAGCACAGAAGCGTACATCACTGGGGCCAGCCGTGACCCCTCTTACACCTAACTCGCCTCTGCCATGCCAGTAAGATGGACTAGTTGTTCATGGGTGAAATACAAAGCTGCTGGATACTTGTTTTGCAAAATGCTTTGGAATTAAAGGTTGGATCACTTGCCTCTGCAGTGGTCTAATAGTGGTTGTCTGTCTCAGCTGTCTGGGAATGAATTGGCTAAGGAGTGCTCTGGGGGCCCCTGAAAAAGGTGGTGGAGCAGCTCCTGTGCGTTTATCTTGGGTGTAGTTCTGTCCCAGTCACCTCAGCACCAGGGCCCTTGATGAATGACTGCTTATGATTTCAGCCTTCAAGACACTTTGGAGCCAGAACACAGGAGCCCTCTGGAGACCCCGCATCCATGATCTTAATTGCCCTGGAGAGCCATAATAATAAGGGCTGAGATGCTAATGAGCCCTTCTGCAGAGTCAGGAAGAGCCAGTCTGTGTACAGCCAGCAAGTACCAACCCCAGTCACAGTTCCACCGTGTGTCGTTTGTAATCTTCTGCCAGGCAGCAAGCAACGAGGGCTGGCTTCAGCTAAGTTTCTTTTGGAAACTTAACAGCTAATCCCAGCTGAAGTCCTCGGCCAGACACTTCTTCAGCACCTTTGGCAGGCGATATGGCTTGCTACTGCGAACGCCAAATCCATTGCATGAAATAAAGTGCCTGTCTATACACCGGCCTGCTCGTATCTCAGTTTTCCACTACAGTATGGGATGATAAGACTTATCTTGCTAAACCCACCTTCTCTTGGGTAGCTTCTGAGCATATATCTGCTTTTTCCATTGTCTCTTTCTTCTGCAGCATCAGATGGGGAGAGAGGTGGGTGACAGGGTGTCAATGACCCTGTGCTAGTTGTTACTGTCTTGATGGTTCCTTCAGCAAGGGCATTAATATAAAGGAGAAGTAGTTGACCTTCGAGAGTCCAGTTGTGGCCATCATGTCCCAAAATACTATCTTGGCTTGGATGCTGAACAGGAGATAATTGCACTTTGGGACCATATGAGCCAATAATTGTCATCCAGGGTGCCTTAAGATCCTTTCAAGGGTGCCGTGAGGTGCCTGGTGCAATGTTAGCACCATCAGATCTGCCAACATGAATCGCAAGATAAACCCAGAGATCTCAAATGGGAATCTACAGGGTTAGAAACATTCAGACTTGTGGTGGTCTTCTGACTTCCTCGCAACAGAAGAATTGCTCTGTTTTTCTGCAATCAAAAATGAGTGACAATTTAAAAGCTAACATCTTCTCAGGGGTGCCTCGAGTCTGAAAAGGCTGAGAGGCAGTGCTTTCAGCTGTGAGTGGACTTGGCAAGCTTTACCCCAGATTAAAATGGCAGATTCAGCAAGATTTGAACAGTCCTTGCTGCACTCTTCAGCACCTGCCAAACCAAAACTTCACCAAGGTTTATTGGAGGCTGGGAAAATGTCCCTTAGTTTTTCTCCCTATTTTTGTTGCATGTCTCTTTGGGTGCCATCTGACGGTAAAGGATGTGAAATGTTATGAGACCTCTGGAGTTAGGGTGCCTAGCACTGGGAGTGATTTAACGAAGGTGGGTGGTTCTGCTCAACTCTAACCATAAGAGGTGGAAGAACAACGGCCAGCTGGCATCACCCTTGGCAAACGGTGTCAAAAATGGGAGTGACAGTCATTTGAGACAGGGTGGTCTCCAAGTGAACATCCTGCTTTAACAGTGTATCAGGGCTGTCAAAGAACAGAAATCCTGATCCTCTCTGAATGCAAGTGTGCAGAGCTCTCTAGGGCAGCTGCCCCAATGCACACCAAAAGCTCCCGTCAGCAGCAGAGGTGCGGGGTCTGGCCCTCGGAGCATGCACCTGCCAAATGCATCTGGATAGAGTGCAGGGAAGAGGAAAACCCTTGGATACCTTCTGATCGTACCTTTCCATTATTTTCTGCTGGTCTTGTAGATTCACTGGCTGCTCTTTACTTGGCACCTAGTCACCTTATTGTCAGATCCACTTGGGTGACAATGCTTTGAAAAGGGGACTGCACTGTTGGGGTGTCACAAAGGGTTCACTGAAGTCGGTCTCTGTTATCTGAAGGCAGAAACTAATGGGTTTAGTCACAGTTAAATCCAAAGCAGATGCTGTCTGGCCAAGATACGACAGTGCCCTCTAGTGCGGAGAGGAGGGGTACCTAATGACGATTTAGGTTACAGATCTCAAAACGGCTTTCTACTGCATGAAGAAGCTTTGTTGTTGACCCTGGGGAGGGCTCTGTCACGCTTGCACAGCCAGATTTTGGGGGGTGCTCATAGCTGTCATTGTTCTCTATGCTGGTCTCTATGCATCACTTTCCCTGGGACTTGCCAGGCCCTAAGGCCAGATGATCAACCATCCTTAGGCATCTGCCTCTTGGACACATCGTTTTGTTGAGACTTTATCTAGAAGGTGTTTTACTTGCTAGGTTGGGCATATAATAAAAAAAAAAAAATGAATGGTTCAGTAGGTAAAAGCCATGCGAGATGGGTGTCCCTGCCACGACTCGCCCAGCAAAACTGCTTCCAGTTGCCGACCTTCATGCCCAAACATTGGAGTCCTGGCTCCAGGTGATGGACAGGTGACTATTTAACCCTCTAACCATTTACCTTGCTGCCACCTCCTGGCTTTAACCATGACCACCTAGGCTCTTCAAGCAGACCTGGGTCAACATCAGTTTGGTACCTAGAACTAACAGGCATTTTGTGCTGTACCCTCTAACGACAAGGGTGAGCAAGCTCTGGAAGGAGTTGTCTGGCGAGGCTGTGAAATCTGTCACTGCAAGTGCAGGTTAGGCAGAGCGTTTGGGATGGCTTAGACTGGAGTGATCCTGCCTTGAGCAGGGGGGCGGACTAGATGGCCTCCTGAGGTTCCTGCCAGCCCTATTGTCTATGATGGGATACAGCAGAAGGTTTAAGTGGGAAACAGCATTGGGGAAAGGGACAGAGGGAGGGCACAGATAGCTGAGTGCATGGAAGTGCTAGAAAAAAGAGACTGAAAGAGAACTGGGGAGAAAAATTGGGGGTGGGTGGGGAGAGAATGAATGAGAGAATTGATTTAGGAGCATGCGTTCCCGTTTAGGATACACGTTTAGAATTGATGTAGGAGCATGTAAGTGACCTTGACTAGAACAATTTCATTCTCTGTCTGCGAAGCCTATATCCTTCCTTATACATAAGGATGCCTGTATATTTGGAACAAACTAAAGTGGATTTTGGATCAAGCCTTCAATAAGTCAACAGGAGTCTTTCCATAAACTTTGATGGGTTTTTGGATTGGGGCCAAAATAATGAAATGGCTGGCAACCAAGCAGCCCTACAGTAACAAAGTGCTGTGCATGTTGTATAGCACCAGGTGACTTTCTGTAAGGAAAGGGGATTCAGCTTTAGGAGTTTGAGGATTGTTAGAAACAGAAGGAAGCAAGGCTGGGATCTGATGCTTGCAAACCCTCTCCCCCAACGCTAGCGGACAAAAGCAGTCTGTATACAGCAGGTGGCACTCCTACTTCAGTTTCCGAAGAGCTGAGCTAACGAGAGCTGTAAATTTTACTGGGCAGGAGAAACAGTAAAGAGGCACGCAGAGCAAGAGGTGGCTTGAGGAGGCTGTTCTGGATGAGCTTGGCTTGCTGCACAACATCTGGTTTGAGAGTCTGAAATCTGTTATTAACCTAGACAAATGATAGACCTATTAAAAGGGGAAACGATGGTAAATTGGGCTGAAGCAGCCTGATCTCGCTGCTCCGTGGCAGGAAAAAGCCATTCCAGCTCCTTCGCTGCCCTGGAGGCATCTCAGATTTCAAGTGACGAGGGAATTGCCCCCGTGGTCAGCTGCTTCACTTGCCGACGTGGCCCTGATCAAGTGTCAGAGGCTGAATATGGCTTTTGAAGCAGTGGGGACCTGGGGGTGGTTCCCAGGCCTGCAGCCTGTCCTTCTCTCTCCCGACCTTGCTACGGCTGAGCAGTCGCACGTGCCAGTGGAGCCACAGTTTGACCGAGCTGTCTGTGCCCATCGCGTGGAATAAATACAGCGACTGCATTCCCATAACCTCAAAGGGTGTTGCCCATCTGGCACCACAACAGCTGGCACCTTATAAATACCTAGATATATCTCGATTGCCAGTCCCGGCATGTATGCTCACCAGCATGGGAGTGTGTTGTCTCCTATTTCTTTATTGTTTCCATAGAATAACTATCCCTGGAATAATGAAAATGTTACCACTGATCCACAGCCAAGTAGAATATCTTCATTGCCCTATGCTATACCCCAGAACCTCCTGGCCACCTCCTCGAATACCTTTCTGCTGCCTCTGGTCCCAGTAGCCTGATGCCACAATCTTGAAGGCCATCGGTAATCTCAGGAGGCAGCAGGCTCTGGTGGATGCCGGCCTGGGAAAGGAAGGATCTGTTCTAGCTCTGCCCATCTCTCTCCCACCCTTGTTCGAGAGGGCGAATGCAAAGAACAGGCGCTGTCGCTTACTGCACGTGCGGTGCAGCCCTGAGTACTGAGAGACCCTGATGGCATTTGAGGGTCTAGTTTACTAACGCAACCAGGTGCATATGCTGGTGCTCTTATCCAAAGGTGCTATCAGGTAATGGCATTCGTATCGTGTTGTGTCACAAACAGAGGAAGTCATTGTTTCTACTGCTTTAATCTCTGTACTAACCCTGGAGGAGACACAGAGTCCTAGTCTGTGGACCGGTTACCACGTGGCCACTCAAATATGCCTGATGCCATCAGAGGTTGGGATTGCAACACTGCTCGGGGAGCCAGGCTTGGCAACCAGAATCTCCCTGTTGCCTTCATATTTGCTAATTCCTGGCCAAACTCCTGAGTAATGTCACAGGGGTCTTTGCCTTGGGAGTGGTATTTCTTTTGTCATATAAGCTGTGAAGTGGCTTAGTTCTGGGAAGGGAAAGCTGACTAGTTTAGGAAGAGGTGCAGGGGTTTGGTAATTGAGAAGAAAGTGTCTGTAGCTCTTTTCCCCCTTTCCTATCAGAGGAGGAGGGTGAGCGAAGGTTGCATTGTAATTCTGGTTTTTTTTCCCCTTGAGTTGTGTGTTTTGTTTCTACCAGCGTTTAATCCTCACTGTGGGTTTTCCTGCCAGGAAGAAGGTAAATGCAATCTAATTGGGGGAAGAGGGGCAGGAGGATATATTTCCATAACATACTGGGAACATAGCATTTGGCAGCAGGAGACTGACTCCTTAGCTATGCCTAAATTGCACTGTGCATTCAGTGTTTAAATCTTCTCCTGAAGTTTCAGATTTGGGCTATCGATCCAGACAGAACTGGAGAGACTGATAATATAGGCCACACTCTTTAGACAAAATACCCTCTTGACTATAACGGTAGTGAGATCTTTCTGTCCTCTGAGCACTGACTGCAGTTCTGGCTTTCCATCCTGCATGGCATGTACTATGTCCCTTTGAGAGCTGATGGGATTTGGTTAGGCAGAGGGCCTCCTAGGTGTTGCAACATCTGATTTATCATCTATTACTTGGTTCCCAAGGATACCATGTATATCACAGACTAAGATAAGCTGCTTATAACCTAATGGTGAATGCTTTGAAATATCAGCGTCCCTCTAGCATTTGCCATCAGTATTTAGCTCTTCCTCCGTAAGCTTTATTTCACGCCGTTATCTGAGCATAAATCCTCTGCGTTGTGCAGAGGCCTCTTCCCTTGTCAGATTGAGCTGCATTTATAAATTCAGGCACATCTTCTCTTATCGAGTTTCATGTAAATTAGTTGAGCACAATGCTGAAGTCATCAGCACACAGAATAAAAGAGCACAAGACGGCCACTGAATTGAGAGCCAGAGTCTTGGGACCTCTAGCTTGCACGTTCACGTGGCATGGCTTTCGCAGGCAGCAGTAGTGCAAGGGGATGGAGATGGTGATAGCAGTGGTCTTGTGAGAAGGAACTACAAGCTGTAAGACTCGTGCCACACAGGGCATGAGGCATGTGCCAGACGGTAAAGGCCATTTGTTGAGCATGAAGTAGTGACTTGGAGATGAAAGCCCCTTAATCTCATTAAATAACAGAGCTCCCGCCAAATGCTCAAGTCATTTC